AAATATATATATTAAAATCAGATAAATTATTTTCACTCTTAATTGCTCTTTGGTTAGAATAAGTTATCTTATGAATTTGTCAAAAAAATAAATAGAATAATTAACATTAAAATCCTATTTACATACATAAAATTATCAATCAAAAATTAACCAAGTACATTTGCTCTTCTATTTTTTTATTTAATTATCAAATGGGGATTAAGTTATTATTATATTTAAGCTATTTTTTTTAATTATTAGAAATTAGTCGAATAACTAGTTACAGAAATTATTTCAATACAAAATTGATTCATTTAATCTAGAAATTAATGAAACTCAGATTGCTTAGTCTCAAAAACAAGATTGGACCCTAATATATCTAATTTAATAGAAATATATCAAACCAGGTATCTGGCATTGTCATACTAACTTATAAACCATATATAAATGGAATTGAATACTTATTTTCATGAATTAAATAATTTATAGTTAAACAATAATTATTCATGTCTAGCAGCTTTTAAGTAAAATCATAAAGAGTTTAGTTAAATGAATCATTCACTTATAGAAGGTTGGAAAAAGAATGTTTTTAAGCCGATAAGAAAAGCTCAAATTATTATGTATGATTTAAAATGATAACTATCACAATTTTCATCTTTTAACAAAAATCTATTTTAAATAGCATATTAAAGAAAATTCTCAAATTTTGAGTGGAAAAAAAACAAAAATTTTCTTCTTTCTTATTTCTTCAGCGTTTCTTTTTTTCAATTCAGAATATTTGGTTTATAATACTACATAATTTTTCTATTGCAAATTATCTTTGTCTAAACAAAAAATTGAAATTTTATAAGGATTTTTTTTCATAAATTAATTTTATAAATTCATAAAATTATAAAAATATACTAAAAATTGAGTTTGTTTCTGAATTTTATGTTGAACTTTTGTTATCATGAATGAATTCTTGATTTTTAATCTTAAATGTTACCCAAAAAATTAGTTGAAGTAAATTTTGTTTAATAAATATCAAATAAATTTACATATCATATTTTCAAGAGCTTCAAATTTTTGGAATCGTTGATCCCCTTTAATAAAGATGTTTTTTACTTAAATAAAGCACAAAATTAGCCAAATAAATATTTTGAAAGATTAATAACTCTATATTATAGAGGGTTTGGGTAATTTTATTAAATATAACATTTGTTTTAAGTTAATGAAATAATAGATATTATCGTTTCTCTTCAATCAAATTAAATAAGCTTATACTTCATAATAAAGTGAAGCTGGAACAGTTTTCAAAGGGAAAATATCAGAAGATGAAAATCAAAAAACTTAATTAAAACACATATTAGAAAATATATTAGGTTTTTATGATATTATTCTTACACTTCTTATTATTTATATCATAACATTCATAAAACAAGACCATTTTAATCTTAAGCAATTGTTTATGTGATGTTCTGCCTTTAGCTCCTCAGTAAACCTTGACCTTTTAATAATGGTTATTAATTCTAAGGTAAAATTGTTAATTTCAGATTTTCGCTTCTGTGAATTTTGGAAATGATATTTAATCACCTATTTATGCTGAAGAAAAGGAAGCACCTTCTTTTTTTTAATCACTATCATCTGAATTTCAAGGCCTAAACTAATTTACCTACTATAAATATTATAGCTTGAGAACAATAAAAAGTTGCGAAAATCAACAATTTTACAACATTTTTTTCTAAAATCGATTTATAAATAAACTAAATTGATATAATCGAAACTGAGAGCAACATCAGAAAGAAACTATAACAATCTCATCAATCAATATATTATCATGTTAAAACATTAATCATTATGTTGATGAATTCGAAAACTACAGAAATCAAAAATATAGTGAATTTATCCTCAAGAAGAATTAATTTTAATTTTAGATATAAGAATTTAATTAGGAGCAGAGTAAAAAATAAAAAAAGCCTAATTAGGTTATGGAATTAAATGAAGAACATTAAAAAATACTCAATTAAAAAATTTCATCAAAATGGTCAAAAAGGAATATAAGGTCCAATAACTAAATTTTACAAATGTCTGTGGAATTAGGGAGGTAGAGAGTGAAGATATAGAAAATTATTTAAAAATAAAAAAACCTTAATGATAAACATTGGTGGCTCTTAATTTCGTGAAAGATATTAAGAATATTACTTTTTAATTTAGATAGGACAAGCTAAGAAAATATTTAAGAATAAATTCAAAAAATGATAGGCAGAACCAAATTAAGCAAGGTAAATACAGCTACTTTAAAATATATTTTTTGCTATTATTTAGTTACTTGATGATTTACTAATATTTTAGTTTCATAGAGTTGCATTCTAGATTATATTCTTTTTCAATTTGCTCCTTTTATTTCCAAGCTCTATTAAATTACTTTTCTTGAGCTTTCAAGCCGTTTTCTACATTATATTCAAAAAAATAGCAAAAGAGTGGAGAATGTGCAAGAAGGAACCTCAATATACCTTAAGAATTATCAGATATGGCTACAAATTTCATGATACCTTAGTTTTTCATTCCCCTTTAAACTTTAATTTACATAAGAGTGTCTGCTCTATCAAAATAACTTTCTCAGGCTTTGAAATGGGTAACTTCAATTAAAACTTTAGGTATCACTACAAAGGAAAACTAAAAATTTGAAAAACATAAGTATCAAAAAACAGCTAAAATGTATATGTAAAATACAATGTTTTAAAGTTATGATTTTAATTAAGTTTTTTGATTTTCATCTTCTGATATTTTCCCTTTGAAAACTGTTCCAGCTTCACTTTATTATGAAGTATAAGCTTATTTAATTTGATTGAAGAGAAACGATAATATCTATTATTTCATTAACTTAAAACAAATGTTATATTTAATAAAATTACCCAAACCCTCTATAATATAGAGTTATTAATCTTTCAAAATATTTATTTGGCTAATTTTGTGCTTTATTTAAGTAAAAAACATCTTTATTAAAGGGGATCAACGATTCCAAAAATTTGAAGCTCTTGAAAATATGATATGTAAATTTATTTGATATTTATTAAACAAAATTTACTTCAACTAATTTTTTGGGTAACATTTAAGATTAAAAATCAAGAATTCATTCATGATAACAAAAGTTCAACATAAAATTCAGAAACAAACTCAATTTTTAGTATATTTTTATAATTTTATGAATTTATAAAATTAATTTATGAAAAAAAATCCTTATAAAATTTCAATTTTTTGTTTAGACAAAGATAATTTGCAATAGAAAAATTATGTAGTATTATAAACCAAATATTCTGAATTGAAAAAAAGAAACGCTGAAGAAATAAGAAAGAAGTATTATAACAATAATATGTAGCTGCTTTGTTCGAATAGGAAAAATTAAAAATATAAAAGCTAAGAAAAAGGCCCATAACTTTAGAATCTAATTATTAAGATTTTATACATTTGTAATGAAAATTCAAATTATAAAGTCATTTATTTAGAAATGTTAATGGCAATAAGAATTCTAAAAAGTAATTACCAAATAATATAGAAAAAACAGAAAACAAAAGGGTAAAGAGTAGAAAATTATGAAAAATAATTATGACATAAAAACAAGAACAAGAATAGATTTTTTAATGAAAGCTTACATTGCTACAACCACCCTATGAATTTGAAAGAAATTATTATTGTATATAACTTCTAAATAGTGAAAAATGATGATAATTATCCCTCTAGGGTATTGACAAAAAATACTACTCCCTTCAGATTTATAGAGGAGTTAATTTCTTCGTTAAGTTTTTTGTCATTAGAGAAAGTGGAAAATTAATTTTTATGTAAAATAATTTTAAATTTCATGATGGTCTCAAATCTTAACTTTAGGTTTGAAAATTTATTTCTTCTAAGATTTTGTCTTTCTTACACAACATTTCTTTTAAGATGATAATATCCTTAAGAATGGTTAAAATTTATTTTGTGAAAGCAAACATCATTCCCATATATATATCCATATATATATCTATACGAAAAATTCAATGTCCATAAATTAAAGTTTATCCTTTTTGATTTATTCTACGCTAATAATTGCTCTATTTTCTTACAGAGTATTTAGACAAGTTGAGTTATGATAAATATATATTTCAAAATAATTTACGAATTAATCCATATTTTTAAGATTGAGGTTGAAAAAAAGCTTTAGTAATTTGGTAAGGACAACTTTGACAATAATTTTCATATTTAATTATATATCAAAAAATTCTTAATAATTATTTAAAGAAAAGTTAATTCAATTAGAAAATATTAATATAAAATAGAATCAATTATCACTATTTGATCAAACCATATAATTTTTTACATGACATCACTTGGTATTATATAAAATTATGTAAGTTTTCTTTTTCATAATCTTATTGCAAGAATTTGCCTCATAATGGTTACCACATGAGTAGTATTTGACAACAAATGCAATATTTTAAGAAACTACACGCTACAATGCTTATGAATATACAGAAAATTTTTTTAAACCCTTAACAACATTCACAACTGCAAATTTTATCAATTGCTCAAATCCACCTACAAGTTATATTACTTTAGATTAAAGCAACCTTGAAGTAGAATATAAATACTCATTTTCTTTTTAATAGAGATTTGCAATTTCTTATGATTTATATTTTCATGGTACTTGGAATAATGAATTTGTGATGATAAAAATAGGCACCTGTAATTAAATGAATCAATATTCATCTCAGAATCCTTACTTTTTGACATCAGGATTTTGCAATAATAAGCCATACTAGGTTCAAACATTTAATTTTTCATACACAACATCGTGTTCAGGAATAATGTCTTTTTAATCTTCAAATATTTTGAGTGGAATGGTTTCTTTAAGAAACATTATTATAACTAAACTCAAATGCTATCCTTCCTGCAGGACATGTGATGGTCCTGCATTAAATTAATGTTAAAGTTGTTACTATGATACAATATCTGGAAACATTTGCCCATTATGTCCAATTAACAAATATTATGTGAAATTTTTGGGATGTAGGGACTTGTGTGATTTTGACTCTAAATTGTTTAAGAATGGATTCTGTTAAGAATACGCAAGTAATATATAATATTATTAAGTGCATTTATTCTAGAGGACTAAATTCGAGAATAATCCATAAAATGTTGAAAATCTAAAATGGTCAATTAATTACGATAAAAGCCACATTGATAATTCAATTGCTCTTGACTATTTTGCTAACATATTATGTTATGGCATTTTCAAATATAAAACTGGGATTTAAAGGTTTGTTAATGAAATCTCCCCAGATTAAGGATCTAAATTAATTGGCTTTCAAATAGTGATTTTAATATTTGGCCAATTTCCAATGTAAGGAGGTTTAAACTTCTATCTTAATAATACATATTATGGTTCCATATTTCAAATCTCCTCTGAAATATAAACGCATAATATTCAAATATTTGATGTGATTTCTTTGGGATAATAGCTTCAATATTCAAAATGTGAAAAATATGAATTGCACATGTTTGTTGATATACCTTAATATCCATTTTTATTTTCATCCTCTAGTAATTTCACGTATTTAATTTATTGTAACTTTTAGAGATGATAGTGCTGGATGGGCCTTAGTTTCCTTAACAGTCTCTTCTGGATATTGCCCATAAAATTGTAAGGAGTGTGAAGTATCATTTTAGTGTAAAACTTGCGTAGGCTCTTTATTAAAATATAGAGATGG